TTCTCAATATGTAAAGTGAAACAACAGACTTTATTTCAAGCATATCTGGAACTAAAAGTAAAAGTCTTAAATTGTCTTATGGTCTAAGAAGAAGTCTATATAAAAACTACTCAACTTCTCATGTCTCAAGTCTCTGTTAGCTCATTCTCCTTCCATGTGCTTCCATGGAAAGCCAAAGGCAGACAGAGCAGATCAATGGCTATATATAACACACTGATTATGTCAGAATGTTTGTTGAAGTGGGTTGCAAAGAGGATTGCAGATGCATAATAACTGTAGTAACAGCTTAAGCAACATGCTACATGTGAGATTTGATAACTGGATGTGTAGAAGCGTATCAGCCATGAGTTGTCAGCTGGTGTGTGCTTGCACTGAAATGAGCTGATCTGCCAGGATTGTGGCTGAGATCAACACAAACCAGTCAGATTAACCATTTGTATTTGTATTCCTGCACAGATATGAAGAAACAGAAACATTTAAATTTTTTATGCATTTATTAAAAGAAACCCTCCAGCATATGATGTAAAGCCAGTAAAGCCCTGCATCCATGTAAGCGCACCCTTTGTCTCCTCGTCCTCCATTTGGATTCTTTTTTCTTCCTCCTTGTTACTAACTTCCATTTACCAGCATCCCCCTCTGCTTCTCAGCCCTCTTTCTTGCCGTCTGTATCAGAGACTTTTGACTACAGTGTGTGAATACTGAAACATAATGGACCTGTCGGTGCGTACATGCAGCATTCTCCATATATTTCCATATGCTTTTAAAGTCTGCGCACACAGAAGATGTTCACACGCTGCCTCTCTCAAACGCTCCTGCTGAGGCTTCTCCACCACCATCCCACCAAAGGGCTTGTTGCCATGGAAACTGACGAAGAAGAGGTTACTTTATTCTACTCTATTCTATTCTAGTGTAGTCTGGTCTTCATTAAAGGCCTTTTTTCACCATGTTTGCCCTTCCTTTTCTTTCAGAAACCATTTTTTTTTCTCTCAGCAGAATTTGTCTCAGAATCAAGCACTTGAATGGGCTGAATGGAGTGCAGTCATTGGGGTTTCATAATGGTTCTGGTTATGCTGTGGCTTTGTGCGTGTAACATGAATATCAAAAACAGCTCGTCCAGCAGAAGGGGAAGTAATAATGTGGGAGCATTAATTAACAACAACCCAGTAGAGAGCCTAAAACATCAGAGTGGATTGGGAACATGTTGAGAGGTGGGGGATGAACCCTGCTCTTACCATAACAACTGAAAAACATCAACTAATGGACATGTAATGATACTAAATTGTCCCGAAGTTAAGCTCCGTCCATACACAGAGAAGGCCAATTTCATTGTCTTTATTGTTTCATGTCAGAAATTGTGTTTGTACCAGTTTTCTTAGGCAGCTTTTCCCCAAAGCATCTTGAGTTGAAGATAATCATAAAACGTATCTTGTGTTATATTTACTGGACATTTAGCTAGCATTAACTGGAGTAATAGTTGAAGCTTGCTGAGCTGAAAACAAATGTAAGAGGTTGTCAACTGGTAGATTTTTTTTCTTTTAAATTAATGTTTTGTTTCACAGAGCGCTGAGTTTAAATATTAAGAGTTGAGTCCCATTAGGTGAACGCTGGAATACGAGGTCATAACAAAGTCAAGTAAACCTATTTAATGTCTGTAAGGGCTGATAAAAGGGCAGAATTGACAGTATTGCTGTCACATATCTTCAGACACTTAGTTGAAAAACACGGGATCTGTAAGAAAGAAAAAAATAATTGCATATAAATTTATAACTGACATTAGATTTTTGTGTAGCAGGCTGATAAAATGCAGCTGGACATGACAAGACAGGGCTGTAAGAGACAGGCACACTTGGGCCGTACGATTGATTGAATTTGAATCTTGATCAAGACTTTGGCTTTCCACAATTAAGTGAACACGATCGAGCAATATTCAAAATGCATGCTCTGCCAATAGACTGCAGATCTAACGTGTTAACCACAGTGGTTCCCTGCATCCTGCAGCATAAAGTTTCCGCAATCAGGAACACGACATCAAACAACAGATATACAACAAAACTCAAATGTCTGGAACGACAAGAGGCGGCGAGCTTGTCCCTCTTCTACTTGTACAACTCATGGCTGATACGCTTCTACA